AGAAAATAAATAGAGGATAGTTTTCTTATTCAGTGACACTTGTCCAGCCTGTACATGGAATGGATTAGGTTCTGTCGAAAAAATTTTGGGATAATATACTTAAAGGAGACTTCACAGGCACAGAAGGTCACTTAACTTTACCTGCAAAATCTTAATCTAAACACTTGCTAATTTTTGATTTGTGATTGTGTGCATGAATATAGTGTACATGTAATTTAAATTAAAATTATGGTATTAAAGCAGAGTAAGATCATCGACCTGCTTCTTTTATTTACTGAGTGCATATTTTAGATGCTGAGAAAGGAAATAAACTAAATGGATTTTATTATCCCCTTTTATATTGCTTTGTATTCCAGTGTTGCAGTACTGGCTGGGGTGTTATTTTATCAGTAGGAGGAGTATATTAAATAAAATCTGATAGCATGTGTGTGGTGTTACACAAGCACCACAGCGGTCATATGGTGAATGCCCTTATAAACCTCACTTTAAAAAAAATTAAAAGAATCATTCTGTGTGAAATAGTTTTTCCTCCAGATGCTATGTTCCTTTGCCACATGGAGGTGAGGCCATGGATAAATAATAGATTCTAGAAATATTCAACATCTTTCCAAAAATGGTTACTAAGCCACATGGTTTTGCTGGAATCTGCAAACCTTGAATTATTTCTGACTCTTTGAGGTTTCTTCTCTGTGTAGTTGGTCCTAGCTGCTATTGTGATGTTGTCTCAGAAGAGAAAGCTCTTCACAGCCTGGGAAGTGGGTAAAGTTTGCATTGTGTCATTTGCTGTTCAGTGATGTGTTATTGACAGCTCCTGGTTTATTTCCATTTTATGCTGTTTCAAAATTCTGGCTAAAGTTTTGGAACTAATGAGTTATGACGTGAACCAAAAAGGCATCTAAGAGAATTTAGAAATTATTTCGTACCTCGTTTCTAAACATAAAATAATTTCTGTTACTTGGATGGAGGAGAGGCCTTTCACAGCCTATAGGTCCTTTTACTGCTTTTGAGCAGGAGTGGTTTACCGGCTTCGCTGAACACGTCGGCTGTCTTGCTCATCTACAGGGTTCAGCTTTGTTGTCCCTCATAAGGCAAAGAATTCAGCATTCTTCATGTTTAGAAGGGAATTAATTAAATATCTGCTTACACGTAGGGAACAGTCTTATATCTGAATCAGAGTTTTGCTTAGTTTCAGTGTATGTGCTTAGACTTGGGCTGGCTGAAAACTAAAAGTTGTGGTAGCCTTTCAGACAAGTGGCCTGCAAGTTTTTACCAATGTAACTTGGTATGTTCTGACCACCAAAAGTGGTACTGGGAACAGGAAGATGAGATACCTTATTCTTTATTTGGATCTGTAGGAGAGCAATAGCGAGGAAGTCAGTCCTTGCTTTCAAAAGCAGCAGATATGGGATGCATTTTGAGTCATGCAGTTGGGCCTTAGTTTGCTGCTCCACTTCTTCTAGATGATGCTAAGGTGGTGTTTCTTGTATTTGGCACTTTACTGCAAAGTATGACCAGTTTATACTTCTCAAGATTTTTTTTCTTGTTTGGGTGCTGATTCAGACAGGTTTGCACTTGGTGTATTTCTGATCCTCTGGGCTGAAATGGTGCTTTTTTCTCTTACCAGCTCCTTCTTGGATGTAAGTTTAAAGATGCAGCTCTTAAATGGGCTCTGAGGTGTGGTCTTTATTTTTTGATCTGCTTGAAGTCCTCTGTGTTTGAAATGGGGTCTGTTTTTATAATATATATGTAATAATCCTTTTATAAACACTGCATTTTTAATCGTTATTTTCTCTAATACATCATTGAGACTAATTATTTTAACTTTGCAGTTTCTTGTCACTGTTACAGGGAAATATGGTTACTGTATCTTTGATATCAGAAAGATGCACTCACAGCATTGGGAGGCAACAGGATGGCTAGGTTTTTATCTAAAGAAACTATGAGCAATGGCATGTGGCTGATAACTTAATGGAAGTTGGATAAATAAAGGAAAAGAAGCTATGACATACTAGGGCCAAAAGTCATTAGTGGACTTTTTCTGTGTCCTGTTTTCTATTAATCTGCAGTAAACTGCTTTGAAAATCTTAGTGGGCTTTTCCTTTGGTCTTCAAATAGCAGGTTCTCTTATATTAAATACATTTGTTTATCTCAAGGGCTGAACTGTTTGGGTGCTTTTGATTTCTGTTTTGCATTTTTTAATCTACATTTGAACACAAACTTCTTTCTCACTCTTTTTATGGACCTTTACATAATGCTTTAGGAACATTATTGTGATTATACAAATAAAATTTTGTGAGAAGCAAATACTTCTGCAAATGATGTAAGATTTCAATACGTGGCTCTTGATTTATATGAGATATAATCAATTCCCCTGTGCCACTACTAGAAAGCAAAATGTGAGTGAATTTCTTAGCAAAGTTTTTTAATGGTATTCAAGTTCTTCATGTTTACCTCCATGGTTCACATGTAGTAAAGTCTGTCACTTTTTAAGTTTCACTCAATATTGTTCCCTTTCTGTATCTAAAGGCCTAATTTCCCTACTCTGAGTGGATTGCTAAAATGGACCTTGCACTATTTTCGTGGACAATGCAAGATACAACTCATTTTACAGACAGCAGTTTGAGGACTAAAATGGGGGCTCAAAATAAACGCAAAGAAATGCCAAAACTATTTCTCATAGCTGGTCTTGGTTACAAATTCCTGTTGATCAGGACAGAGTGCTCTGAAGTATTTTACATCATTATGTTGGTAGATGGGTGGACTGAGTGATCCAATCCCAACTCCCTACTTGAAAAACCCATTGCTGTAAAGCTAAAGAAATTGTGTGAAAGCTTAGAACTGTGCTATAATTTGTAGGGATCCCTTACACAGAGAAACTAGATATGCAAAAGAGAAACAAATTTAATACTGAGGGTCAGTTGTATCCTTTTCAGTGCTTCTGGGTTTGTATTTTAAGGCCAGACAAAACAAAGATGAATTTTAGTTATGTACTTGAGTCTCTTGAAGAAACCCCCTACATTTGGAGTATTTTAAACCATGGGCAAATATCTCTGTCAGTTGGGGTCAGAGTGAAATGGAATGAAATACTGTACTGATGTTCATGGTCTGCTCAGCAAACAGGAAATCAGTGATTTAAAGCTACTCTAGCTCTTGTTATTTGATCCAGTGGGTGCAGACCAACTCCCTGATTCACTTCTCTACTGGTTCCATGTCTGACCTTTAGAAGGAGATGCAATTCCAACTCAGTTTGGGTGATCTAATCCATCCCCTAATTACTTATGCACACTCTGGCATTGTTCTGGTCAGATTCTAATTCCTACAAATGTTCTGCTCTTGGAACAGAGGTTATGATCAGTTCAGATACTGCTGTGTTGCTCCTTTTACAGTTCTGGTGCTGAGAGCATGAGGGAAAAAAAGGAAGGGGCTCAGATGTGTCCTTCCCGTTTACTTCCATCCTCTGATATGTCTACAGGAACTTTACATACAGTAATAGATACTACTTAAAACAAATATAGATGGACTGATTAAATCATGTACAAGGTACTGGATAGATGAGCATGAAGTGATGATTTTCGGTAGGTTGTGTAATGCAGTGTGTTTACCTCCTTGTGTCTGAGGACAAGCAAACCTATCTGAAAACCAGACCCAACTGCAAATAAATCAGGTGATTCTTAAAGCCCTGGGCACTCCTTCCCCTCTGCTCTGGCTCTGCCCAGTAGTTTGTTCCTTCTGGTATTTCTTAAATGTTTACATACATTTGGTAATTAAAATAGAAAACTGGACAGATGTCTTGTGCATCTTCCAGTTCCAGTTTTGGTTTGAGGAGTGACAATGCTGGAAGATTCCTTAGTTTTTGTCAGTTTATTGGCCCTGTCCATGGTGTAGAAAAGGAAATATTTACTGCCAGTATTATTACATGTGAAGTCACGAAAGTCTTTCAAAATGGTTTGGGCTGGTACTTTTCATCTGGCAGTTTCATTCTGGTAGTGCTTGTTTATATCTTTGAAACACTTATGTTTAAAACCCCTTATTTTTATTATTTTTATTTTTGAAGTCCTTAAACATTGTATGTGTTGCCAGTGTTGCAACTGTAACATGGAATGACACTGGAGAGGGAGGGGTACTGAATAAAAGAAGGGAAGGTTTGGGAAGAGTTTGATTCAAGCCCCAATACTTCCAACCTTCAAAAGTACAATCTTGGAAGTGAATAAAGAGCTGGAGTTAAACAGTAAATTGTTTCTCTCCAATTTATCTAGATAGGTAGCACTGTCTAGGAGGCTTAGCTAAAGGGATAATGAATGTATATTTGAGTACAAAAATGCTTGAAACTGAAACTCTGCTAAGTATTTACAATGGCCTTTTAAGTCTGTTTTGACATTAGTTAAGATCTTGACAAACTATTTTCACCCAGGCTTTTTAGTGAGGGGTTTTTCTCTTACATGAACACACCTCTTGATCTCCTTTCTCACAGTATTTTCTGGATTCTTCAAGAATTCACAGGCACTGGTGTGGCATTTATTTTGCAAACTGTTGTAATAATAACATTATAATCTGTAAAAGGGCGTTTCTTTTGGTTTTGGTTAGCAGCCAGAGATTCAGGGAACCCGAATAATATTCATAGTGGTGAAGCTCATGGACATTGTTATTTGCATAAATGTGATTTTCCAAAAGCAATACAGGTTTTTTGTTGTTTTCCACAAGATGTGTAGCTGCTAGATTTTTTTTTTTTTAATCAGCTTTCTGTTTGTTAGCTGTGACCACTTTTTACTGACTTATTTTGAGAGCTCTTTATATTCCAGTTACTGAAGGTTTTGGCTTTAGACTTGTCATCTGGTCCTCTGTTTTGATCTAAGTTTCTGCAATTTGTTCCCTTCTGAGTGGCTGATACATCATGATATAAGCATATATCATGAGATATAAGCTTATCATGACATGAGTGTTCATGATGCACTCATGTGCAGTTACTTACTTGATTCTTTTTCCTCCTCTTTCATCAACAGGTGACAAAGAAAGTCAAGTCCATGCAGATGTTCCATACTCCTGTGACTTATGCTATGCAGGGTGACAGAGTAGGTATCTGTGTAACCCAGTTTGATCCCAAACTGCTGGAAAGAGGCCTGATTTGCACCCCAGGTTCACTTCACACCATCCATGCTGCAATAATTTCCTTGAAGAAAATCCAGTATTTTCGAGGAGCTCTTCAGACTAAGGCCAAGTTCCACATCACAGTTGGTCATGAAACAGTTATGGGAAGAGTGATGTTTTTCAGTCCAGCCCCTGCTGACTTCAATGAAGAAATTCAAGAAAATGTTTTTGATTTTGAAAAAGATTATCTTTATCAAGAGCAATATTTGTCCAAGGACTCAGTTTCATCAGAGGAGAACAAAGAAAATGACCAGGCGGGAGAAGTCCAGCTCCCAAAACAACAGTGGGCTTTGCTAGAGTTTGAAAAACCAGTCACTTGTCCTAAACTGTGCCTTGTGATCGGCTCCAAGCTGGATACAGATATTCACGCAAATACCTGCAGGCTGGCGTTCCATGGGGTACTGCTCCAAGGCATGGAAGACAAGAACTACACAGAGACTTTCCTTCCAAAGCTGAAAGTGTACAAACTGAAGCACAAAGAAGGACAAGTGGAAAGGGTAAGCTGTCTCTTGAATGCTATATTTGGGAACTGGAAATATTTGTTTTGTGTAAGCACATATATTGCTGAGCTGCAGATTTTCATTGCTATATTCCAGAGTCTAACACTTTCTGATGTTTGTATACCTAGTGTATTATGTGTGGTCTGCTTGCAAACAGTCAGAAATCATTGTTTAAAGTGGCTTGTTTATTCAGTGCAGTGCAGTGTTGAGTAACTTGATGTCTAATCAAGCTGTTCTTCCCAGAGATTTGCTTTGTGTACCTTCCTAAGTGACAAAACTTCAAGCTTGCCATTGACATATTTTACGCAGTCTGCAGTACACTGGAAATGTAAAGACAGTGCAAACGAGAAAGACTAAATTGTGAGTTAGATTAAATAACACAAAAGACACTTAATTCTTTTTTGCGTTTTCACATTGTAATAAAAACACTTACTTTAGTAGGCATAAAGAAACCTCCTACAGCATGCCTCAGGGAGCTATGGCTGGCTGAAGTTGCAATCAGGCTTGTAAGATGGAGAACTTGAGCCATGCTTAATGCACATTGTTTCTGTGTCACACAGGTGTTAACCTGCTGTAATGTATGTGCTTGATCTACCTCAGTGTGGCTGAAGATAGGTGCTTTTTGGAGGAGTTAGCACCTACAGTAAAAATTGACTGGGATTTGTTTTTACTGTTCCATCAGTGTGGAGACACTGTCTGACAACCACTGTCTGTAGCGGTTGGTTTGCATTGCTGGCATAAGTTCAGTCTCAGTGGTGGTTACCTTTGAGTCAACAGTGGAGAATCAATTGTTATACATCACATCATAGAATTTTTCATGATGAGTGGTTTAGGTGGAGATGTATATTATATAAATAACTTAATTGCTTACCCCTTGATGAACAGAGTTGATGCAGACTTTAGCAAATGTTTACCAGATGTATTAATGTGATGGGTGTTCTATTAACTCTTGGGTAAAGAACTATTACTTTTTATTTGCCTAATTCAAAAATTGATTGTTTGTAAAAACCATTTAGTTTCCTTCTCAAAAATCCATAAAGCTGAGTTGAGGACTGTGTAATGTCTCTTCCTTTGGTATAGGAGACTAAACACTTGCCATACCATGCCATGTTTACTATGTACAATGCAGACTTCTTGACTATTATTTGTTTACTTTACTGGTTTAATACTATGAAGATCCCTGCTAAGGCATGATTTTGAGTTAGTGAGGTTCTTTGAAATGCTTCACTACATTCATTGATCAAATGGGCAATTCACGTTTCTCCCTTTTTTTCCTGAGGTTTCTGTGGCATCTTAAATTAAAAAAATAAAATAAAAAATTAAGGAAAAGAAAGTAGATAGAAAATAGATGTGTCTCCTTTGGATTTCCACTGACTTTGAAGGTCGTTTTTTTGTTTGTTTGTTTGTGGTTTTGTGTGTGTGTGGTTTTTTTTTCTGAAAGGATCTACAGACCTGTGTTGTTGTTTGATTTCTTTTTTTTTTTTTTAAATGCCAGTTTTGACACTAAGAGGGAAGGTAGTTAGGAGGATATCTGTAGCTTTCTGAAAATTTTATCTCCATTATTATGTGTTATATGGGACACCCAAAATCAACAGTCACTTCACAATTTTAGTAGCAGGTTAGTTGTCTCCTTTGTTTGACCTGGCTGACTACTTTCCTCTTTGGCTGATGCTGAACTAGAAGTAGGAGTTGAAAGTATTCTGTCCTCTAAAGCTGCAGAGGAGCTCTAGACCAAATGTGTGTGTCTGTATGCTTGTTCTTCTGGCACTCTAGAGCTTTCTGAGCTCGTGAAACATTTACCTTTATCTTGGCTAAAACTTCATTCCCTTGTGTGTGGCCCATGCTGCCAGGATCCGGCAAGACCTGGCTTATCAACTCCTTTTGTTTCTCTGTGGCTGCAGGAATATGAATGGAAACAGAAGTTTGTTGACCCATGGAGACAGATGCTTTTCTTTAATTAGAGATTAACTGGTCTCAGATTATTTCTATATTTTTACTCCCAATAAATGGCACTAGTCTATGGGACTTGAAAACTTGCAGAGTACCAACCGTGTGAGTTGTCCGACCGGGTTAACAGAGTTTGCTGTTAGCCTTGGTCATGCATTTTTAATTGTTTTTATTTAGTGTTAATTTCAAACTGCTAGTTTATGTATTCTGCTATTGATTTTACTGTGTAAATAATGGAATAATGTTAATCAATTATAGTTGGTTTGGGGTTTTTTTCTGCTCCAGAAAATAACCAGTGAATGTGGGGTTATTGAATATTAGACCAGCAGAGTAATTTATTAGGCTGATACATTAGTGAGCTGTTTTGATATCTTCCCATGCTCTTTAAAATGTAGAACTGGGAGGTTTATTATTTTATCCTGTCTTCATCTGTCACACAATGTGCCCTAAATATGGGCCTTGGTCACTGTGTGTATGGATAATAATTGGCCCTGTAAAGGAACAGTTGCCATTGTCTGTCTGCAGGTTCAGTTTATACCTGGACTTTGCCTCCCAGGGTACTGTAGATACTTGGAGCTGGCATTTTCCCTGGTGCATGCTAGAAGGGTGGTGGAGCAAATTTAAGAAATGCTCATGGTGTAGAGTCAAAGGGGCATACAGGGACTTGGATCAGTTGGTGGGAAGAGGATCGTGCCAGGTATAAATGGGGCCTGCAGGAGGGGAAGTACTTGCAGTCGAGGTAGCTACAGTTAAATCTGTGCTTTTGCAGAACAGAGAGCAGCAGGAACAATTGGGTGGTACAGGGACTTATTTTAGCACACAAAGTCACTAGCTAATAGAAAATCTGAATCAGCTGGTCCCACCCTGCTGCTGATGGATGGCTGGAGATTAGGATCGCTGAATTTAGGGTGTCTGTTCTTGGCACTGATACAGGAAAATTTCTTTCTCTGTTGAGCAAGGAAGCTCCCCCCTCCTCACCTTCCCTGGGGAGGCATAAAATAATAATAATTAAAAAATACATGTTACCTTCACAAGAAGTGAACTTTTCCTTTAGAGAATACTGCTGGGGAAAATTAGCTTCATAGCTTCCTGAAAGGCTGGGAGAGAGGGAGGCAGGGGCACATAACATTCGCCTTCCCAGGTTTGGGAGAGGGTAGAAACATGCCCCCATAATGGGGTTGTAGTGGAATTCAATAGTGCCTGTTTGTAAAATGTTGCTGCTAATCTGATGCGGGCTCTCCCAAGCCTCCCTACTTGTTGCTAGAATTAAAATTAATTCCCTGCAGTTTAACTACCAGTTTACCTGGGAGAAATCAGGCATTTATGGTTTGGTTTTTGTTCCTATTCTGATTACTTTCAGATCACTGATGAAATGGTAAGAACTGTAAATTCATTAAGTTTCAGCATCATGGTATTTTTCTTGTGTGCCCCTAGTGCACAGCACCCTCTTGGATTTTAAGGTTAATTTTTTTTTTTTTTAATAAAAGACGACTATTTATTCTCAAAGATTTTTTGACTCTCTATGAACACGTTTGACGTTTTTCCTGTTTCACATAGAAATCAAATCAATGGAAAATATGGTATTCACTACACCATATTTTAAAGTAAAAATCATACTTGAACTAGCAGTCTTCAATTGTATATTTTACGGAAATTTCACGCCTAAGCTTCCCAGTGCTTCTTATCTGCTGAAGTGATGGTAACATTTTATACAAAAAAATCAAGTACTCCTGCACTGCATTTTGTACTGCTCACTCTTTACTTTTGGTATTTTGGCTCTCTAATGCCAAGACTGTGTGGGGCACTGGGAGGGAAAGAGTCAAACCTGACTGGTGTTGTTCACTAAAGTCCTTGAACTTACCTGTCTGCAGTGCATCCTTGAACCTCCTTTTTTTTTTTAATCCTTACTTGTTTATCTGCTGCGTTTTGGGGCTTGTTTATTTTGGGGGTAGAGGGAAGGGGAGTATATATTACTGTGGTATATTAGAAGTCAGTGTTTTCTGAGGTGCTGCGTAATGCATCAAACTGAGGTCTCAGTTATAAAAAGTTGCATGATTCAACTAGAGTCGTGATTTTAATCTGATTATATTATTTGATACTCTTGAACTGTTGTGGAAATGTGTGAATGCTCCTGTTTTGTTTTAGACCTTTTTTTTTGTGGTAGAGTATGATTATGGGTTAGTTTTAAGGAAAATCAAAATACACTGTTCCCTGAGAACTAAGAGGGCACTGACAGAGGTTTGTATTTGCTTAACTTGATGATTTTAAAGCGATGTGAAATACTAGTCCAGTTTTCTCTTACAGAGAGGACTTAAGAGAGGGGAGAAGTTCAGTGGAAGGAAGTTTCTGTCAAGAGCATCTTTCTGGTGCGGTTGTGTGGAGGCAGAGACTGTCACCCTCTGGACACTTTATTTTTACAAACTCTTGGCTGCCTGACAAATTTACTTTCAATAGGAAAAAGCTAGGCTGGCAACAAGTCCTGATAAAAAGGTAAAAGAAGGCTGAGTGCTATTGAGAGCACCAGTGTGGCCTTAAGGAGTGTGATGTGGGAATCTTGGTGAAAAAAAGGACAGATGAGATGCTGTGAAAGAGGTTTGTCCCTCTGATTTGGCATACAGTGCGGACTGTGGATGTGGGCTTGCTGAATTGTGGCAGGTCAGCAGCTTCTGAAGTTGGAGACAAACGAATTGTGAAGATAAACAGCAACTGTTTTCCTTGGTCTTGTGCTTCTGGAGACAATCTGCTCACCCTTCAGCTCTTTGCAATTCTGTGGTCAAAGAGATGTGTATTAACCCTAGTACCATCTCTGAAATACCTTCCTCTCTGAATTTAACCTCTGTGCAGCATTGCAGACTAATTCCAGTCTGACTCATGAAGCAGTTACTCAGTTCCTGGGATAAATCCTTTATATTTGTCACATTATTTGCTCTTTGGCTTCCTCGGAGGTACAGGTTTAGTGCAGAGAGTTTGAACTGAAAGGTGAACTGTAGAAGTGCATCATGCTTTCCTGCATGACTCAGATATTCTGTTTTGAAAGTGTTTTCACAAGC